AGGAATTTCAGTCACGGTGGCCTGTTTCAACAGAGACTAGCCATCTACGTAGGACAGGATTAAATACCCAAGTGTATGCGCAAGCCACAATTGTACTGGCATGGTCCGATGGGACAGTATTCGACACGATCGGAGAAATATCAGGCGCAGGACCGACGGTTTTACGTACTTTTTGAGGCACGGGTGAAAACACCGCTTAATTCCTGACTCCGGACTGCTACTGAAAATCTCTTAACAGAAAACATACCGCTCGCTCCGTATCGCTGTGTCGTGTGATAGAGAGTTGCAACTCTAGGAGGCAGTTGTGCCTACATTTCCTTTTTGAAATATTATTTCGAACGATAACATTTTCTCCCCCCTAGACATATAGGAAATGAGACAATTTGAATTCATTAGATTCATTAGTTTAAATATTTTATTAAACACAAACTGTATAAAAAGGGTTATTATAATATTAATAATTACACGGTTGATAATAACAATCTCTGGGAATGAGGTGGTCGCTTCCAAGCTTATAAAATAAATTTTGAATACAGTTTGTACAGTTTTTCATATTGTATAATTTACTTCAATAAAAAGTCCCGCTGGGTTTCTTGCTGGTTCTTCCCAGGACGGAGGTTTTTTTCGGAACCAGTGGTAAAGTAGTTCTAAACGTGGTAGAGCCGTGCTGCAGCTATATTAGTAGTATAGTTGTAGCACGAATGGGTAGGCTCGACCGGGGAAGGACCATGCTCTCACAGAATACCAGCGTAAAATAGCAGCTTAACACTGCTGTGTTTCGCATAGTGAGTGTAGAGGACTGGCGACCCTTTTTACTGGAAAAGATCCATTCCATCTTAGTCCTCACGGGTGACAACGTATCTGCATTTTGATTCGCAAACGAGGATAGATGTAGATGTCTATGGGCCACAGCAACCACTTACCATCAGGTGGACTGTGTGCTCGTTTGCTACCCTATCCTATAAAAAAAAAATACTTTCAATAAGAATTACATAATACACAAACAACATGTGTGCAGTTTACACGCGGTAAAAGTGAAATCTTCAAACGAAATGAAGTATAAAGTTCAAATATTTCATGGAAAATGATTTATTTAATATGATCATTTTCAAAGATAAAAGTTTAATTTTATATTATGTAAATGTTACAATCATTATTCTCAGACTTAATTTTAGTGATAAAATTGCTTTGTAAAAGCGCCATCTATTTCATTCTATAGATAAAGTAATTTTATCGAACCAAAATTGATTGACTCTCAAAGTGATACATAAGATATGCGCTAAATGGCATAAACACCAATAATTAAATATAATTCGGTAAGCTATGAAATCATAAATTGTTATGAATGAATTTAATATTTTTTGTTAATTTTTTAACTGTTTATCTTAACAGTTAAAGTTCACATTAACCATCTTTAACCCTAGAGTACTAATTATCGTCTGACAGGCCGCCCGCGGTTGGTTGTTTCTGATTATTTTGAAATTGCAGCGACGCGACGTACCGCGCCTTGTGTTCGCGCTCTAAAGTTCGTGCTAACTCAAACGACAGGAAGGGAGTGTTCGCGCGCCTAACAGGGATACACCCTCCCGAATATATTAGCTTATCTACGGATACACCGATGCCGCGATATTGCCAATGTGATCGTCTGTGAGGGGATCATTAGTATCAAGGGAAGGTTTTTTTTTACTGTTAACTTATTTTACATTTCCGAGTTTTTCTCGCGTCGCTGATTACGATTCCGATGAGAGTGTGGCTGATCTTACTTTTCTTACATACAGACTAGGAAATGATCTAAAAAAAATTGTGATCCGCAAGACCGAAGCTCTCCAATACCGTCAACATCCAAAAACACTGAGCCAGTTTTACCAGTTCCAAACCGCTATTCCTGTGATAAAATTAGAAGTTTGAATTAGACTTAGTCTACAGTAAATAATGTGATGATTACAATCGTTTTTAGTAATGTATATTAAACTTTTTATATTATATTGTAGTTTTTATACCATAACAGTGGTCCTAGGTTAACATTTTTAATGAAAACAATCTTTTAACTGACTGTATCTGTGTCTGTGACTGTGTTACATTTAGTATTACACTAGCTGTTCCCTGAGACTTCGCCCGCGTATTATTTGGGGTTTTAACTTTTTTGCGCGGAACCCTAATTCTTTTTTTTTCTAAAATAAAAGTAGCCTAAGTTACTCCTTGTGACATCAGCTACCTGCCTGTGGAAATCCCGTCAAAATCGGTCCAGCCCTTTCGAAGATTAGCCGGAACGAACAGAGAGACAGACAGACAGACAGACAAAAACTTTAAAAATTGTATTTTTGTTATTAGGACCTCACAGAAAACCAGCGTGAAGTAGCGGTTTACCTCTGCGTTTCGCTTGGTGAGTGCAGGTGGCCGGAGGCCCTTTTTACGGGAAATGAGGCATTCCATCTTAGTCCTCACGGGTCACAACGCATCTACATTTTGATTTGTAATAGAGGATAGATGTAGATGTCTATGGGCCGCAGCAACCACTTACCATCAGGTGGACTGTGTGCTCGTTAGTCACCCTTATCCTATAAAAAAAGGACCGTTTCATACATATTTAGTAAAAAGCTGTAATTTTGACATTACAAACAGACAATTCAATTTTATTTATTTGTATAGATTTGAGGGTTTGATTTTAATACAAATAAGAGTTCATAGTTTATATCGTTTTGCATTTAAGAAAGTTTACTAAAGATTTAATAAAAGTTTAATAATAAAAAAATTGTTTTATTTATGATGTAGCCAGTGGCCATCATTAGTATTATAAGTAATAATAAATTTATATTAGTACGAGTACGCTAGCGTTAAAGCTTCAAAAAAAACTAGCAATTCCAGAAGTAGTCATCAAAGTACACTTTCAAGTCACTCTATAAAGTCCGGAGGTAAGATCTCATTATAACTAACAAAACGATGCCAAACTCGGCACATCTAGTTCTCCTCGTCGAGGAGTTCCAGAAGCAATCATCAAAGTACACTTTCAAGTCACTCCATCAATTCCGGATGTAAGGTCTCATCATAACTCACAAAACGAGCCCAAACTCGGCACATATAGTTCTCCTCCTCGAGGAGTTCCAGTGGCAGTCTTCAAAGTACACTTTCAAGTCACTCTATCAAGTCCGAGGGAAAGGTCGCATCATAACTAACAAAACGGGCCCAAGCTCGGCACATCTAGTTCTCCTCGTCGTGGAGTTCCTGTAGCAGTCATCAAAGTACAGTTTCAAGTCACTCTGTCAAGTCCGGAGGTAAGCTGTCATCATAACTAACAAAACCTAGCAATATTATTAACATTACTAAAATTCCCTTTAACCAGTATTGATACCTTTCGAGTTCGCGCTCCGCACCCTGTAGCATTAGGCTATTTATTTATTTATAAGGCTCACTGACAGATGATACACAAAAACTAAAAACAAGATGCAAGCATTGTGAGAAACATGCTATGTGCTCACCCAGTTAAAGGCAACCACAGCTAACACAGAGTAATGTTGCGGAAAGTTAAATAACGTAAAATTTAATAGTACAGTAGCAAAATTGTGTATTCATGAGAAATTAAAAAGGTTTTCATTTATCATCTAAAATTTAGATTCTAAATATTAGCTATATTAATAAGGTTACTGTCGATACTACATTGTATTCTGTCTCATTCTCTCGCAGGCTAAATCCTATAGATGTGTACAATTGTCTCTTTTTAGTGTTGCTTTTTCCTTTCATCCAGTTTCAAATCACAATCTTGCTAAAGAAGTTTTCACTTCAAAAATATTCTATTCTATTCTATTATATTCTGCATTTAAGTCCGGAAGGGCGAACAAGGACTCCCAGTCGCCAGATGACCCGAGAGGCTGACCGTGATTAGTCCGTCCGCAGAAACTACCACAGGAATAATATCGGTCGGCAGACCACTCCATATGTCGGTCATCTCGTGAGCCAGGTCTAAATATTTGGTTTTCTGTTTCGGCTTTCACGAGGTTCTCGTCATACGGAATGGTGATGTCGACCAAAAATATCCTTGACTGTGCCCGGTCCATCAGCTTAATTTCAGGCTTATTCGCAAGAATAGTCCTGTCTGTGATGATGACCCGTAGAGTCTCTGTAGAGCTTGGTGCGATAATTTTCAAGTAAGTACTTGTTATGAGGCAGTGTTTGATCCACGAGACCTGCTCTAGCCCCTAGACTCTAGCTCCTGGCTAGCTAGTAGAGTAGTGGTGCTGGGATTAGTGGTGACGGTGATAGAGCACGCATTGAGGGCGGGAGGGGGATGCTCTTCAAACTAGGTAAGATCATTTTATTTTATCGAGCAAATGTACACGAAGTAATTTTTTGCCAACTTTAATATTAGGTTGTGTCTATGCAAGTACTCAGAGTAAGAAAGCGCCGAACAACTGGAGATGACATGCCAAAGTGATTCACCACGACAAGCCCGACAGATTTCGACGGTGCCATAAGGGATGTATTTGGATATATTTCCGATAGTTGTTGATCTTAGTAACCTGATCATGTATTGCATAGACAAAACCCTCGGTTTCCCCGTACAAGTCACTAAAGCGTATGATATTATGTATATATATTTACTACTACTAAGTTACTAAGATCAATATATATAAATAATTATTTTACAATTATAATAAAAACGTAATTATTGGAACGATGCACTCCTTGTCAGACAGTAAACATGGCTGATCGAGTAAACCCAATGCAGCGTCACCGACCCGAGTGTGATGGTTTGCCTTCGTTCACTATTCAGAAAGAACGAGTCTAAAGAAGTTTGAAGTGTATAATCAGCCTACTATCCTGCGACTACTGGCACGTCGAGGAGCGCTAACACTGCGAGAGTCGTGACGCTCGCCAGCTAGTCCCACAACACTGAGCACGCCGCCGCCACTCGAGAACATTTCTCCCCATCGGTTGTCGGTTTTCGACTAATATGACCGGTCCATTACCGTCGAAAATAGTATATAATGAGTAAGCGTGCTAACCTGCGACCACTAGCACGTCGATGAGCGCTAACACGGCGAGACTCGCGACGCTCGCCGGCTCGTCCCAGCGCACGTCGTCCCACAACGCCGAGCACGCTGTCTCGTTCAGTGAGCGCATGTTACGCGCGCCGCCCAGAACGACGCGCGCACCGCTTGGCAGCACATTGCCCGACAGCAGTCAAGTGGGCGCCAGCATTTTCTCCTCAACTTTCTGAAAGCGAAAGAAACGACTTGTTAATGTCATATTCCTGTCATGAAACGCTTAGTTTTTTTTTTACGGAATATGGGTGACAAATATGCACCCAGTCCATCTGAATATAAGTGGATGCTGTGGCCCATGGACATCTAAATCTATCCTTGGATATGAATATAAGATAATGAATTAAAATGTAGATGTTTTGACCCCTGAGCACCGAGATGGCTTGTCTCGTTTGTAGTAAAAAGTTACTCCGGCTCTCTACACCCACGACACGAAACACAGCAGCATTAAGCTGCTATTTTACGCTGGTATTCTGTGATATAGTTGCAGCGTGGAGTTTCGTTCTCCGTAACGATCCATTTTATTACATACAAAATGCATGTAAATAAAGTTCATATTACAAACTGTTTATTCAGCAACTTCGGTTTAAAGAATTTTATTTCTCATAAGAACATACAATGGTTCACTTATAATGAGATACAAAGTAATTATTATAATTTGATAATATTATCACATCTACCTCTAGTGCTGGAAGCGGTATAGTCTTAGGTTATGCACTTATACATATTAGGTACCATGTGTTAAAAAGATTACAATGTGCGTACGTATTTCCTAAGTTTACTTTTAAACAATTTCATGCTGTTGCAGTTTTTGATGTCATCTGGTAATTTATTGAACAGCTGTGCTCCCTCAAACAATAGGGTTTTTTTGCCATAATTAGTTCGTGCTGTCATTAGTTGGAGTTTATTTTTACTTCTTAAGTTGTGTGTTGTTGTTTTTTTATGTAACTGTAGGTTTGATTGAATAGAATTAGTGGTTATATTTTTTATTAGGTTGCAAGTGCAATAGGTATAAAGTTGTATAAGATTTAGTAAGTCAGTTTTTTCATATAGTACTTTTGTTGGAGTTAGATAATGGTAGTGAAATAATGCTTTAATAATTTTATTTTGGGTTCTTTGAACTTACATAAGATAACTTATAATAACAAAATAAAAACTTTAAACGGTTCGAAAATAGTTAAACTGGTATTTTTTTTTATATAAAGAGGTTTCATTAAATTTATTTTCTGCAAAATGACTTGTAAAAACTACCACTGCTTAAAAAAACGAAGTGTTTTATAATAAAGAAACCCGGTATAAGAGATAAATTGGTATTTCAAGAAACTTCTCCATAAGCCTGTAAATGTAACTGTTGGAGATAGCATTACCAGACGTTTCGCACCTTCTACGCTACTTGCCTGCGTCCCGTTGCAGATCTAGAAAATTCAAGTCTGACGTATATTAGATAGCCGTGGTAGCTTAGTGCTGTTAATTTCACAAGACTCGAGCAACCCAGGTTCTATCCCAGCCGGCAACAACGAAATTGTTATTTGGAATTTTTAGTACTGATTTAACACGTGCAATGCGAAGGAAAATATCGTGTGAAGACTTGCATGTCTAAAAAATAAGAAAGAAAATTTTTCAGACATGTGAAGTTCGCCAACATGCATTGGGGCAGCGCGGCGGACATTTCCTTGCCCCAAAACCCTCTCAGAAATGAGAGGAGGCCTGTGCCCAGCAGTGGTATGTATATAGGCTGTAACTCGAACTTAACTTTAAAGTAGATGGCTATACTGCCATCAAGAAGTAGCCTTGAGATCCTTCTAGGGATACCTATAGATGTCTCTTATGAAATCCACGGGGTCGAAATAGGGTGATGGATTCTTTTACGTCGTCATCTCACGGTTACACTATCCGTCCATTACAACCAATAATATCAAATTATTCATAAAATAAATAATTATTCATTATTATTTAAAAAGATCTAAATGACGCCACATTAATAGATCTTACTCAGGCGAAGGTTTTCAGTTCAAGGACGCATTCGTTTTCGTTTAATAAACGGATAAGCCAAATATTGAGATAGTCCAATGAAAACATTGATTGCATGTAACCTAATTGTGCTAGCGGGTCCTCGGTTCGTTGCCGGCAATAAAATTATATTCCTTACAGCAAACTTTACGACGAAGTCTCTGGAAATATACAACGTCTGCGTTTCACCAAGTTTCAATTTCTTTATTAAATAAGGACTGTACAAAAAGGGTTGAAGGGCTACCAATTATATTAAGTTAATATTGTAGATAATAATCCCTGAAAATTAGGAGGCCGCTGTCGGTGTACGTAAATACAAATTTTGAGGGTAAAAGTAGCTCTAATAATAATGTCCTCTAGACTGAATTTCAGTCACTGCGACCGGTCTCAATGGAGAGTAGACAGCGCAGCACAACATTACAACATTATATTGCACAAGTGTATGCGTAACAGGTGCAGGTGCACTCTCTATGTCTTCACTCTCATAGTCCGATCGGACGGTAACCTAACCCCCACCCCTCCTAGATTGCCTCATATGGGGAGGAGTATTTGCAATAAATAGCACACTTGACAGATGATTTGGCAACCACAGTTCTTGCACATCCCGTACGCGGTTGGGCTTCACTCTCAACTTGTACAGGTTACGCTATCTGCTATCATTAAATTAGGTTTTGGAAGACGCTGCTGTCCAAGTCCTGATTTGTTTCCCTTTGTCATCTTTCACGGCACCCACGAAACGATATTTGACCCTATAGTGTCGGTTTAAGCATATGTAGTGCATATTTTTGACGGCAAAGTGATGCAGTGGCTTAGCAATGAGTAGCGGCACTAAGGGCCGCGGGTTCGGATACAAGTATTTGTATGGCCTACAAATAATTGCTCTGGGTCTGGATGTTTCTCCTTGTGAAATTCTACATGAATAAACTACCCCCACGATAGAGAAGAAAATCCTAGTGTGGAGGTAACATTTAAAAAAACATTTTTAAATCCATTTATTTTATATATTTTTAATTATTGGATATCAAAAACGTATTAATTTTTTTTCCACAATTAATTGTATCTCAAAAAAGTAAACTGGTGTCAATGTAAGATTAATTTGCAAATTAAAATTTGGGTCTCGTGCAAGAGGCTACGTAAATTAGAAAATTATCCAGATAACCGACCACGTCATGTAAATTCGCTGGAGCGATTTACAAATGGATTAATGGATAGCTGGCCGTTCCCACGAACGAAACAATTCGCGGTGTGGCACAAAACACAAGCTGAAGATTTAAACAATTATTAAATGATAAAAACTTGTAATTAATTAAATATTGTTTAAAAGTAATTAAATAATAAAAACAATTATAAAATTATAGAAAGTAATTGAAAAGTAAAAATAATAATAGAATGCCAAAATGTAATTAAAAAAAGTAAAAATAATATTAAAATAAAAAAAAAACTAATTATCCCATCATAAGTCCATCACAAGTCCACTGCTGAACATAGACCTCCCTTTCTGGTAATGTAATAAGTACGATCGTAAGCCGCCTGTATCCATCAACTATTTGCGTGATTCATTAGGTGGTCTGTCCATCTATCTATTGTCGGTTCTTAAACTATATGGCGAGTCCATTGCTATTTATTTATACGAGGTAGAGTCATGCTGCAACTATATTAGTAGTATAGTTGTAGCACGAATGGGTCGGCTCGACCGGGGAAGGACCATGCTCTCACAGAATACCAACGTAAAATAGCAGCTTAATGCTGCTGTGTTTTTATGGTGAGTGTAGGGAACCGGAGACCTTTTTTACTGGAAAAGAGGCTTTCTATCATAGTCCTCACGCGTGTCATAGTCCACACAATGCATCTGCATTTTGATTCGCAAACGAGGATAAATGTAGATATCTATGAGCCACTGCAACCACTTACCATTAGGTGGACTGTGTGCTCGTTTGTCTCCTGATCCCATAAAAAAAAGCGAACTGATCCGCTAGGATATCTCAGTTACTCTTATCTGCGCATATCCTAGTTATGGATGTTATCATGCAGAGAAATTCCGATCAATAACTTCCACGGCACGCTGAGTGACTTCACGCTGAAGAATCACGTTTCAGTTCCTTTAGTAATTTTAAATTGATAAAAAGTTTTTAACAGTGGTAGAGCCACGCGGCAGCTTTTGCTGTCGCACGGATGGGCCGGCTCGAACCGGGGTGGTACCATGACCTCACAGAATACCAGCGTGAAGTAGAGGTTTACCTCTGCGTTTCGCTTGGTGAGTGCAGGGGGCCGGAGGCCCTTTTTACTGAAAATGAGGCATTCCATCTTAGTCCTCACGGGTGACAACGCATCTACATTTTGATTTGTAATAGAGGATAGATGTAGATGTCTATGGGCCGCAGAAACCACTTACCATCAGGTGGACTGTGAGCTCGTTTGTCACCCTTATCCTATAAAAAAAGTGATATCGTGCGAAACGTCTGGCAATGCGATCGACAGACCGCCTCCCAAGCGTGAACATTGTGAAAAATTCTTCCTGCTACCGGAGAGCCTCATGTTCAGCAAAGCTTCTATGGACTGATAAAGAAGAAGAGAAGAAGATAAAACGTACTCGTAATGTTCTATCAAGCCCTCTTTTTACTTCTGACAGGGATTTGAATCCGCTCATATGTTCTAATGCTTTATACCGAATTGTAAATGTATATACATACATACGCTGCGTTTTCGAGAGTCATTACGAATCGTCTCGCGCGCAAACTTGACGACTTCCAGCCTCCCGTACAAGCCGGTTTCCAAAAAGGCTTTAGTACCATAGACCACATACATATCCTTCGGCAAATTGTACAGAAGTCAATTTGCCACTATGTCTGGCGTATGTGGACTATAAGAAAGCCTTTGATTCCGTCGAAATTTGGGCGGTGCTGCAGTCCCTTCAGCGGTGCCAAGTTGACTGTGGGTATATCGAAGTGCTGAAGTGTTTGTACAGTAGGGCTACGATGGCTATCCGAGTACAGAACCAGAGTACGAAACCTATCCAATTGCAGAGAGGTGTAAGACAGGGTGACGTCATATCCTCGAAACTCTTCACCG